GTAAAGTATTCATATAATGCTATTATTATAAAAGTGTATTGTAGGATATCCATCAAACATACTCGCGCATCTTTGATAACTCTATATCTAATACATATTAAAGATAAGCATAAATTGCTTATCTTTAATATGTATTGAATAACAAAGCTTAAAGCGGGGCACAGACTCTTGCATAACGCATAACACATGAAGCATAAGAAATTCAACCAATCAGAGTTTTTTATTTCATGGAAAGGAAGGAAACGAAGAACTTTAATTGGTTTATTTTCTTATGCATTGCATGTTATGCAAAAGTCTGTGCTCCCCGCTTTAAGGTCGCAGCACAGACTTTTGCATAACACACAACGCATATAGTGCAGAAGCGAATCAACTAATCAGAATCTTTCCTTTCCTTCTATTCCATGGAAGAAAAGATTTTCGATTGGTTGATTCCCTTATGTATTATGCATTATGCGTTATGCAAGAGTCTGTGCTGCGATTCTTGGCAAATTTTCGTGACTATAAGTGCATTCGGCATTGCAAATCAGAGGCGTCCGTTTGCTTTTTTATCTCAAAAATCGTTTGGTAATTTGCATCTTTTTGCAATACATGTCTAGTATTAGCGGCTCCGCACAATAAAAGGAACAGAGAACAGAGAATAAAAATTTCAACCTATCAGAAATCATATATTGTAAAATATAGTTTCTGTTGTGTGGAGCCCCTTAAGCTATATATTATTTTCTTTATGCATACGTTTATGCGGCTATGCAAGTTGTGTGGATATACCCTTAGTTCAAATCACTAGGAGCGCGGTGATCGGACTTCGCTTCTTTCGTTTAACATGGAGCTTGCACTTCTCATTATGTATGTTCTGTACAGTACTTATCTTTTATTGTCGTAAAAACTACCTGTTGTAGGCATAAAGAAGAAGACGATCAACGCTTAGTACTGTGACCCTTTTCTTGAGTCGGAAAACCAAGCAAGGGTGTAAGAAGAAATTGCCTGTAAGTTTAATTTTGTTTTCCCTGTATTTATCGACAAAATATATTTTGATAATTATAGAAAGGTATTAATATTCGTAGATATATTTATGTTTATAATCAATCCTTTTAGATATAAACCACATTTTTGCATGTGGACAATTTTAAATTAACTGCTGGCAATGACAACAAAACACAATTACAATTATGAAGAAATCTTGAAATGGCATCCGGAGATGATACTTATTTCAGAATCGCCTGTCACTTGGCAAGGTTTTCTACTTGTCTCAGAATTGTATCCTGCTGGGAATATTCGATGTCTCAGAGTAAAAGTGAAACTAGTTATGCCCAATTATCCATCATTTGATAAGGCACGAATCAACTTTGATAAGCATATTGCTTTCCTGCGGAACATAGAATTCAGCAGAGAAGTGAAGGAGTCAATGAAGTCTCAAAAAAAAACTGTATCATCATTTTTGTCGCAGTTACAATTACTTATTGTAAGTAACAGATATTGCTCTCTTTGCTATTTTCTTTTTGACAATTATATTATTATATATTTTCAAAAATAGGGTAAATATATACATACAAGTAGTAAAGTTTGTATACCGTTTGACTTTGAATCTACAAGAGACTTTTTGCATGATATAAAAGCAGCTCTTCAGAATCAGTCTGTAAGTAAATTTATAGCTGTATTTTTCTATAAATTCTTAAACTTAATGTTGAAGATATATCTTATTAAAGGATGTGCAATTGTCATGCGATCGAAATCTGAGTACTATCAAATTATCCTTAAGAGAAATATTTCTTACATTGCAAAGATGTAAAGATATTGATATTCCCTGGAAAGTAGTATCTTCTAACATGCCTGAAAACTTTGAGAAGATAGTATTGAGCAAAAATTTGAACATTGTGACGACAAAGTTCAAATGGCAAGTGGAAATACTGGAAAGAGCATGGGAACAATTGAAAGAAATTGATGAGTGAGTAATTTCATGACTTGTTTATATTTTTTCTGTATAAAAGAAAATTATATTTCATTTTACTGCTGAAAGAATTGTCAAATAATTATTATAATGGAATATTCTAATGTGAAATATTACCAGGAATTGTTGGGTAATTGACCCACCAAAACCAAACAAAAGTCACATGCACAGACGCATTCATTTGTCGCAATCTATATCTGTAACAATTACAATAGATCCCGTTGTTCCTACTGCTGCGCCGACAATTCAGTTCTCGGGCAGCGATAACGAGGTGAAAAGACAAATGGAAGATGTTTCCAATAATATTCATGTACGTTCTTGCATAATGTGAATAACAGCAATTTGTGTGCTCATGCATAACTAAAAATTAATACATTTTTTTACAGAACTGGAATCCGGATTGTAATATTTTAGATAATTTGAGGATGTTGTTAAATATGTACACATTTCCCGAGCAGCAGGACAGTTTGGACGATTCGCAAGGTGTTATCAGTAATCGTGAATGTGGTATATGCTTCTCTGAAACATCGGAAACTGATGAATTGCCAAATAAGATATGCAATAACCATAAGTGCATGAAACACTTTCATTCAGTATGTTTATCGAAGGTATGTCGAAGATTATAATATGTATTATACATTAATGTTCTTTATGTAAAATGATAATTGTTTCAAAAGTCATTCAAAACCAAAATAAATAAAATTAGAGATACTCTTAAAAGAATATAGTAAAACTAATCTGATACAAAATAAAATATATTTTAATAGAATTAATTTCTTTTACAGTGGTTACAAACTAATGCTGCGAATCAAGTTGTATTTAGTCATATCTATGGCAATTGTCCACATTGCAAGGAAGACATTGCTTGTCCCATTGAATGTTGAAGGCAAATATTAACTTATTTTTTATAATATTGAGGTAAATTTTATTCAAATATATGTATATGTGTATAATTCATTTCTTGGAGCCATTCTTTTACAGACTGATTGAATTCTAAAGTACCACATATTAAAATTAATGTTGTTTTTGTATCATTAGATTGAAGATAATCAGCAACGAGTGCTTTGCTCAAACGACCAGTATTTATATTAAAACCATGAAGATTGAATGTCTTGTCTGAAACAATAATTTTAGAAAGTAATGAAGTACATTTACTCGTTTATATAATTAAAAAAAGTTCTTAATTTTAATCATTTATTTATGTTTAAAGAAATTGATATTTATTTAATTATCAAAGTATGAAAAATGTTATTTTTTTAATGCACTTATCATAGAGCATTTTATATTCATATGAGGTGTTAAAAAAATCGTTCAGAATTTATATGATAGATAGTATACATCGTACTGAGTAAAAAAAAATCATTGAACAGTTGAGCTTTCAATATGTGTTCACTAAAGCTTTTTTAATTAGTATGGTCTGTAGAAATGCTGAATAGATTTTTTTAATACCGTGTATAATTTTAATTAAGTTTTTTTTCCACTATTGAATTTAAATGTTACGTACCGTTTAACTGGGATAACTGTAATGTACATTTAAAATTCCAATAATTCGCTAAATGCGTTAACTCTTTTTGCAGAGGTACGTGTGCTATCGATCTAAATCCCGCAACAAGGTGCACTCTTGTCAGTTCTGTTTCGTCATCAACAATTGCCTTAGCAATGGGATAAAGCGCTGCTATTCCTGAGCCGATACCAAACATGATAATCTGCTGAAAACTGTCGTAACAATGCGTTGATTCATGAAGAAAAAAAAATATTTACTTATCACTTCACACACCTATTACTTTCATATTTAAAATCTCCGTAAGGACCCCTGATGTCAATTGCACTTCCAATTGATGCATTTTTCAGAAGTAAACTGAATTCACCATGTTTATATAATTTTATCAAGAAAATTAAACTTCTGCATGTCCAAGCAATTGGAGTGTATGGTCGGGATTTACTCCAAGAATGCAGCATGACATATTGGCCAGGTGTCAGATGTAAAATATTTTTTTCTATTTTACATTCTATAACAAAAAAATTTAGAAGAGTCTGTAAGAAGATTACTTTACTATTCACATTCTATATAACATATATAAAGTTTTTTTAAATATGTTTTATGACGTTTTAAATATTACCATTGCTTTTAAATATTATAATTTTTTAATAAGATACAAGTATAATTTTTCTTTGCTATAGGCTTGTATTTCTTATTTGTTTTATTAAATTTAATTATTTGTAGTACATTTTATAGAATTTGTTATGTTTGCTATTAAGTTCATTAAATTATAATACCTGGATATTCCAAATAAATTAAAATGTAGTCTTTTGATGCATCAGATATATCTGTGATAACAAACGTTTTGTAGGATAAAAGAGATAATAAATTGTCAATTGTTTTAACTTCTGCTCGAGTTTTTCTATTTTCCCATTCTTTTAGCAATGTTTTGTGAACGTCGAAGATACATGGTGTGCAGCCGCTACCGCAACAATCTTCCTCCAGTGGTGTTTTGGGTCTGTTATCTTCATAATCGTTACTATTGTCTAAACTCATTTTATATAAATGTCTTATTGCACTATTAATAGAAGCTTTCTTCTATCACAAACAGAAATATAAGTTAACCAAACTATATTGCACAAGAAATTTAATAATAAATCATACTAAATTATAATAATTATTGCAAAATTTATTTTCACATATTAAACATTTCATTGGTAGACTTGTATAAAGAAGCATTTTATTTTATTTTGCAACATATCTTGCAAGGAAATTATAAAGATCAATTGACACATTGCAGACAGATCACATACACGTGCAATGGATCACGTGACTACTCGAGCGACAGACTCGTGTGATGTAATAGAGGGCTCTCTGAAAGTTCTGTATTTTAATTTTTTTCTGATAATTTATATTAATAACATACAGTATATTTTGATAATATATTTTTATGCATATTCTTTTTAATTTTAAATAAATATATGCAAGTATATTAGAATTATTTAATAAA